ATGAGCTTGCTTCAAGTGACCTTGGACCCTGACCTTCCGTTGCGTATGGAGCTTGAAATTACAAGAGCTTTCGACAACAATTCAGATCTATAGATGATGTGATGACGAGGGTTTTCTCCGGAGACCGACACCCGCATCACTTTGCTGAGGGGATTAGGTGGGGCATACTACCGGTGCCAAGGCTTCAGCTTGTATCTTGTCCACGGACGACATAAACAAGTAAGGATAACCCAGATATCCGAACTTCGAATTGACATTGTTGCCGTTGACTCTAGAATGAAATGTAGAAAGGATCTGTATACGCATAACACAAAAAATCAAGGACTAGATTTTCGGGCAGTCACTTCGTCAGACATGCGCATATGCACACGAGAAGGCTTGTCTCAGCCTGCCTGCTCTAGAACGCAATATGCGGGCAGTGCTCAATCAAGCGGTCTAGCCAGTTGCAAAAACGCGTGATCAGTCAGGATACTGAGAAGAGAATAGGATGAATTTGTAAACGGCAAGTCAGAGAACTTACTTAGACACCGATGAGTTATTCAGTACTTGTCCTAGATTGTTCCATCTGACAGAGCTTCGATTGGGACGAAACGAAAACCGAGAGGGAGGGAGAGGAAGAAAGCGTACATGCTTGTTGTGCCTGTATATTATGTTGATAAGAATAGGAGTCGACATGAGAGTCACTCACTTGTTGTAGAAGTAATGGAAGCATCTGACTGGCTTTGACAGTGAATCATGGCAGCGAATGAAATCCATATAGTCGGACCTATGGAATTCGATTGAGTAGTTACTCACCGAGACGCGTGGACCAGTGGGTTCGCGTCCGCGGCCTTGTTAACCATCAGAATGAAGGAGACTGTGTGCACTGGAATTCCCAATGGGTGGAAGAGTGAAGTATAGACATATATTACCACGTGAAGCTAAACGTGAGATGCTGGTACCTAGCGAAGCAAGTGGTCCTGTTGTTTCATGAGAGTTGTGGATTCAGCTTGGAGCGAACATGCTCGAATTAGTAGCCGCCGAGGCGCGGAGAAGGGAGAAGATCTGCAAACTGGGGCTCCGGGTCCGTCAAAAAACGAAGAAGGTTGTTGAGGAGCTGGGGATATTTTAATGCTGCGATCAGAGAAACCAGCGGATTATACGGAAAAATGTCCCCACATATACCCAAGGTACGTACATAGTAGATATGACCGTGGTAATGAGCAAGGAGCTCTGGCCAAGTTATGCCAATGATATTTTTGAGGTTGTAATCATTTGCTGTATGAAATTCTCAGAGTTCACAGAAACATCACTTGTCAAGAAATTCTCGTTAAGCGTCATCGGACGTTCAGAGGTATCGAGTCTTGACCATCTATCGGTTTCTCAAGTTAGTACTAATGCATCACTGAAATGTAGACGGAACGACTCGGTGGAGCTCTCTGACTAGCATGCATGTGATTTCCTCCACCGACCATTGGTACAAGTATACACCGTCCCTCCACAGGCCAAATTGGGACACAGTCTAATAGTAATAGCCGAACGATAGACCTTCCGAAAACAGATTTAGGAAAATTTCGAGGGCAAGATGATAGGACCTGTTGAACGACACACTGCTCATACCGAGGGAAGCCAATGTTACCGTTGAAAGTTCAGCGCCTTGGGTATGGACGCCAAAGAGCCCGAGCTGATGATCATTTTTCCAAGGTTGAAGATTAAAAACGCGAGCTGTGATACATCCTGTTTCAATCTTGAGATAGATATTGGTTTTTACCTATCCTCGCCGGCAGCGGTGAGTTGTCGGTAGAATTCTATTAAAGGCAAGTCAAAGGGGTGAGATACGACGATACAGGATCGAGAAATTTTCTAAATTTCAGGAACCTACAAGTTGCTTCCCGCGCCTTTCGAGGGTTGTACGAAAAAAGCTCGCTCAAAAGGGATAGAGTTTGGTGCATATGTAATTCTGATTCTCTCGCTCCAGAGCACGATGAATGTAACGACGAAGAAATTACTTGATAGAACTGTCGGCGAAAGTTCGGTAAGCAAGAGGCATTTGATTTTCCCACCATAGGCCGCGTCAGTTAAGTAAGAGCTTACGCATTGATCCTGCTTGCGCGTCTTCACTAAGAATCTTCTTAGAACCCGCATCGTCTGAAAGCACCGGGACCATAACCACCTCACTACATTCTATATCGTACGAAATGCCTGACATGGTTACACTTCCCTATTCGTCTCCTGGAACACCCCAACAACGACAGTTCAATCCATATAGCGAAAATGGGGGGACGATTTTGGCGATATCTGGTGCAGATTTCAGCGTCATTGCAGGCGATACGAGGCAGAGTGAAGGATACTCAATCCAAACGCGGTATGCACCCAAAGTCTTCAGATTGTAAGTACAGACGCGTCTACTAGTTGGTCAAAACTTCATTCATCCCCCTTTGCAGAACAGATAACGCTGTTTTAGCAGTCAATGGGTTTGCTGCAGACGGAAACATGTTCGTGAAGCAAGTCAGACAACGTTTGGAGGTGATTTTCAATATGGATTGCTGTTGAGCTCGCGCTCATCCTAGAACATAGTGGTATCGACATGCTCATGCAAAGGACATGCCTCTGCGCGCCATCGCACGTTTGATTCAAACAATGCTTTATTCTCGCAGGTTTTTTCCGTACTATGTGTATAACATTTTGGGTGGAATAGAGGAAGATGGTATGTTGCGTTGATCTAACTAGCTCCTTCGGACTAATAGCTTTCCATCGTATTCCCTGATCCATCCCGACTTCGTTCCCTCTACTCTCCGCATGGTATATTGCTCGACACTATAATCGTCACAGGATCTGGAGCAGTGTACTCTTTTGATCCCGTGGGCTCGTACGAGCGTGAATCTTGTCGTGCGGCAGGCGCAGCCCAATCGCTTGTTCAACCCTTCTTGGATAACCAGGTGAGATATCGGTGGTCACTGCTTTCGGCTTTCTTCCTATGTTCCTCCGTCGATTACTTTCCAGGACTTTTTTGGTCATCTTTCTGTTGTTATGCCTTGCATTCCGTTTATCTGGTTATTTTCCCTGCATACACGTCCCGATTTCCGGCTGTTGCTGTTGTCTCTTTCCCCCGAGACGTAGGGAATTGACGCGTGCACCACGGGTATGCCATCCTATGATGGACGAGTAGCTTCCGATGCTTCACCGACTCCATGTTGTTTTTTTTCTTTCCTTTTTCAACCCCTGTTTTCTCCTCAGTTTACTGAGGCGCGTGTTGTTGGTGGCACATTGCTGCTGAACATGCTGCCCGGGTTTCTTTTACAAATCCCAACTCTCTTTCCTTGTTTGTTGCTGAACCATGCACTTGCCTCATTTATATAATCGCTCCTTTGTGCGGCACCTTCTTCTTCCGCTTGAGCATTGGAGTGAATGGTGGAATCAGTCCATTCCCTGAAGTATATGTATAGCTTGTGGAGTACTAACGGATCTGCGCGCTATACATCTACGGGTGGGGGAAAACCAGGGAAACTGTTCGCAGTCGGTGGCCGATACGGATAGACCTCTATTCATTTGCTCCATTTGATCAAACTCGGGAAGGACTGGATTTGTGTTGCTTGGATTCAGTGCTGCCCATCACGGTTACCTACGGACCTGATTTGGGGTAGGGTCAAAGGATCGAGAGATGCTTTGGCTGGGGAAACATTACTACCGCTCTTCACCATTCCATTTATGATTGGTTGTTCTCCACTCTCCCGTATTCAGGAAGGATCACGCATCGTACGGCGCGATTCGAGTCTAGTTCTCTTTCGGAGCATCATGGTCATTGTTGTACAAAATGCAAAACAGATAACTAGTTCTAGTGCCCATGACCGATGTATGGATAGGGACAAGTCCAACTCGGGTGAATTAGGCGAATGAATGCAAAAAAAATTGGCCACCATTCGCGTTCTTGATTGATTATTTCCTGTTCTTTCCTCTAGTTATCGCCTTTGTACCATCTTTTTCTCCATTTTCGTGTTGTGCCGGCTTCTACGTTCATCTTAAAATACGTATACTGATTATGATACTCAGATCTACTTCAAGAATCAAGTTCCTCAACCTGGTCACCCCCATCCTCAGCATCTCTCACTAATGACAGTCATTCAGCTAGTAATTGACTCGTTCACGAGTGCAACAGAGAGGCATATCGAGGTAAAATTTGTCCATACTTTGTCTGACATTTCTATCCTTTTATTGGCTGAACAGCTATTGGATTTCTACCGCAATATGAGTCATATAATTCTTCTTCCCAGTAGAAACCACCTTCTTCTTTCATTTCCTTTCTACTTTGAACAAAGACTCAACGTTGCTTCTTGTGCAGGTCGGCGATGGCCTCGAAATGTTTATCGTTCTTGCAAAAGGCAGCCCACTCTATGGTTTAGAGAATATCGATGGCGTACAGGAGATGACCGTTACAAACGAAGGAGAAAGAATATTTGTGGTAAGGAGGAATTTGAAAAGGGATTAGGCATCTAGTGCAATGTTGCGGCGGTGGAAGACTGTCAAGATAGGACGAGATAATGGGACACATGACTAGAGATGATGAGCAGATTTTGTCAAATATGACAGCGAAGACTACGCGTCGAAAATGCAACGGAGACTTGAGACTGCAAGATTTTTCTTGTTCTTGCCGCAACATTAGTTTCTGTGATTCGTCTGTCGTCCGACCTGCTCCCTTCTTGGTGATGTTTTTTTCATTCTTGCAATTGTACACACATAGATGAATGTCACATCCTGTTGTCTGCCTGTAACTTTCGCGTTGATATATTGGACTAGTCTTCGTAGCATCACTGTTCATCAGGACTTTTCGCTACTCCACTGTACTATATTTTCTGCTTGTAGCTACGTCGAAAGAACTGTTCCATTACTTGATGCAAAGAGAAAATATTGTAGTTAAAGACCTGTCCGGGCCCGCTCTTTATCCCTGCGTTAAACACGTGCCTCAAAATCTAAGAGCGCGGAACTCAATCAACAAGTAGATACTCGAAGTAAAAACGAACATGTGGCCAACGTGGGGATCGAACCCAAGACCTTCGCGTTGCAACGTAGAGTATATTAGCACGACGCTCTAACCAACTGAGCTAGCCGGCCTGTTATCGTTCTTAAGGATCAGAATGGAGTAGTTGTTTTCATTTTGTTTCTAAAGTCCTTATCTTTATGATAGGTAGATAGATAGATAGATGCACGGCTCCGTCTTATGTATAGCACCTGGCAGCAGTCTTATCCAAGGTACATCCGACCGATCTCCAGGTCACTCCAGATGAATGGAATGTCGTCACCGCGTTCCGGGGTAGGATTTGTTACTACATAGCCTTCCTCGATATCTGGCCCATTGATTTTGGGTTTCACCAATTGCTTACTTAGTTAAAGTCCTGCGCGATATCATGCTATATCCACTCCTCGTTGCGAGATAACGGAACAACGCATCTATCAAGCCGGTGGGAGTTTTTTTCGGGATCTGGGTGTATGTCCTTTTCTCATCCGCCAATACTAAGTACTTGAAGTTGGAGACGACAATGTTGGTTTTGAATTTGGAGTATACGTCCATCCGACCTGTCATGGCCTCCACCAACGTTCGTCTTGCGGCCACAGATTGATGTCAACTCGAACATGGGAATGCCATAGTGAGACCGTAATCCTCGTTTCGAAGATTGGAAGTACTGTCCTAAATAATATGAATGATGAGCTCGAGGCACTCGAATTTCATATCTACTTGAAGCTTGGGCAACAAGCAACCATGAATTCCAGACTTCTTTGTATTGGTTATCCTTTCCTTGACTTTGCGACACTGACTCTAACAGGATTTAACGAGAACGGTTGTATCACATGTGCACAAAGTACCTCTCACTCACTACACAAATCCCAGTGAAGGAAGACCAGAAAAATCTCTCGGGCATGTGCCGTAGCAAGGTGATCTCACGGCACCTTCATGAAGACTAAGAAGTACTAAAACCGATGAGACTAGTGATGATGGGTTCCAATTTCCGAAACCAATTGCAGCGCTCGACGAGATGCCGCTATCGGGGTAGACCCTTGTATAAGTATGAGAGAGCTCAAAGTCATTTTCAAACGATTGCTCTCAACCTTGCATTTAGCTCTTTCTTTATTACGAGCAGCTATCCTTCGCCGTCCATCTGTGCGGCTTGCTTCAACTCGAAACAAGAAAATGTGTCAACAAATAGCGTAAGTGTGCCTCGAAGTTTGCTCGCTGCGTCTTCTTACACTGTATCTCTAGTGAGGGAACGCGATGGTCAAAATGTGGTGTATGTGCAAGTTTTCTCAGGCTCAACCTGCGATGACGCGAAAGCTAAAAGACCTCTAGCATTTTCAAAGACATTTAGTTACTGCGATCATGGATTGTAACTCCAGTCGTTGCGAACGAAGCTATGCTCACCCACAGCATTGTCGATTGCTGACCTGCTCAAAAGTAAGTCCAGCGTAATGTCCAGATCGAAGCGGCCGTTTGAATTTAGGTTGTACCTGACCACATAAATTTACTTTGCTCTGCAACGAACAGAATTTTGGGCGAGAGATACAGAGAGACATTGATAGGGTGGATGAGTACTGTTTTGCATGCAGGGCAGCACAGGCTCGGGAGGCACGATCGAATGGCAGGTAGATTGATGAAGAAAGACGAGACTTGACTTACTAGACTAAGAGTCAATTTTCCTATTTTTTGTACGTGTTCGTCATGCGCCATCCCTCATTGTATCTGTCAAAAATCTAGTTAACGCCATTTTGCGATTTCGAAAATGTAGCGTAATCTTCGCTGCAGTCAGGCGGTCTTGATTGCGGTAGGAAGAATAAGCCCATGCGCGACCCATTATGGTAGTATTCAAATAGATTCAAACATGCGTTGGCGTACCCGTGTCTATGGTTCCACGTTCGTTGAAAGCTGTTGAAAGATGGTGATACCATGAGCGAGCGTGGTCATGATATTTTCGGCTTGGATAGCAATGAGAACCAGGAGTAGCGACGTATTGAGTCTCCCAAGATATGCGGTTTCGATGATCCGTCCGTGTTGCCTTAAACTTCATGTATGTATGTAAGCTTAACGGCTCACTATCACACATTCGGGAAAACCGAAATTTTTAGTGAACGCTCATGATAAAGACGTATTCACAGTCATCCGAGCAGCTCTGATTCAGCACATCGAAGCGGACGATATGCAGAATGATGGGTCTTCCGGTGAGATAACAAATGAGCTACCTATCCCAATTTTCGAGCCGGTAAAACGTATACATACATTTTGATAGATCAACAAAGTGTCCCCTCGCTGATAACAATAGTATCTAGAGGGCTACGTAGAGGTCAAGGATTGGTTCGACATGATTTGTTCGAACATTTGCAAGGCCGCTTGCCCATATGCGAGGTTACCAAACTGCGAAAAAAAATGAGCTTCAATATTAGACTATATGATGCAGCCAACCTTATACGCCGGTACCTAGAGAGCAAGAAAAGTCCGGTGAGCAAAGTGCAGTTCTACGATGGAACCATTTGATACCTCATGACCCGCTCCATATATTCGGATATAGGAAAATGTGCCAGCGTTCTTGACCTGTCCTGCAAGTTGACCACCAACAGTCCAAGACTCGAAGGACTGAGCTTGTAAAATAGAGGTAAATTGCATGTCGAGGTTGTTCACCTATTTAGTGTGTGAATATACGTGTGCCTCGAAAGAACAAATTCACGGTACTGACCATGGCCTCTACTCCATTGAAGTTTAGAATATAGTCCTGAAAGCAAACCTACTTCAGCATGAATGGTTTCGAATTTAGATTACTATTGCGTACAGCGTCGCCATCATAAACGACCACACGGACCTATAGATAATGGTCATTGAAGAATATAAAAATGCAAAGAGACCAACGTACACCTGCATCAATGACAGTCTCTAGGTCGGGACGAGAGTTTCTCATCCAATCACCTGGAGGGTAATTGAAAAATGCTCGAACGAGGCGGGAAAGGAGTTTACCAGTGGCCGCAAAATTATCATACACATTGTCGTTGGTTTCCTGCCAAGTCGACTCAGCGCCAACCTTCGTTTCGATAGTCTTGAGGTAACTTGTCAGATCTGGAGGATATGGGTCGGGATTTGTTGCAAGAATATAATAGACCTGTTAGAAAATTAGCTAGACGGGTTCAAAAAGAGATCCAGAGTTCGCTTTAACATACATCGAAATCGCCTGCCAAAGGCGACAAGATATTGTTGTTGCAGAATGACTGAGCAGCGGAGCAAACGGAATTTGAGCCATCATTGTTGCATGCAGTGATCTACGCAAACGGTAAGGTGAGAAGCTAATCACATAGTAGATAGTCGAGGTGGTGATGCGCTTGCTCAATATTCATGTTATTATTCCCTTGCCCATCACCACCTGCTCAAAACAGGCTGTACGAACCTGCTCTTTGCACCCAGTAGAAGAAAGCCAAGACGTATTGGCACGGGTGATAGTAGATGTTGAGACAAGAGCATGGTATGGGTTTGATCCCGCGTAACTGATGTATCCAGGATATTGCGACAAGGGATCCTGGAAAGAGTGATCAGAAAAGACATCTGAAGCTGGTCAATGCACACCGCCTCACCGTCAGACCATCACCCACTCCCAAGGTTTTGAGATTTAACGTGATGCCGGATATGGTTCCTTTTGCTATGGCAGCATTCTGAGACAGGAAATATCTAATGCCAAATCATCAATCCCGCTTGCATTCTGATACGAAACAACAACCTACGCCGCGAAAGTCGGCCCATAGTGACCACCATAGCTACAGCAGTGCATTTGAGATCTATGTGTAGAATGAAAAGGAAGATATCTCGCACGATTCTGTCCAGATAGCAAGATCATGACTTTGCAGACCGGAAAATCTACTATCGGATAGAAAGATTTGCAGAAAAGTCCAGACGTCAGCGGCGGCCTCTTCTGACGTTCCAACGCTCATAGTTCCGTGCGAGAAACCTAGTAGAAGCCCCGAGCCATTGTTTTTTTTTTTTTTGACCCAAACAGTATGATTGGGTTTACCCACCTACTCCTACTGGCTGGTCTATGAACAATAGGTTTGCCTTGGTGTTCCACGAGTTGGGATTGAGCGATACTGCCGTGCTGGCATTATTGATTCTGCAAGGTCCTAGTTCCTGGAACAAGCCGAGCATGCTGGAACTTCCAGGCTATGAAGGAAGAAAAGATCAACGGTGAAGTTTGGAAAGACAGATGCGCACTTACACCTCCGTTGAACCAGAGTGCGAGGGGAGCAGTGTCGTTGTTCTCTCGGGCTGCGAAATACCAGAAACTATCATGAAGAGGGTCAGAAATATAGACCCTAATTGAATATCGACATACAACAAACTCTCTGTAGATGTCAAGTCTCCATACCCGGAGGCTGAATATACACCAGGCGTCGTTTCTGTAAGGGGAGACAGATTGAAAGATCGACAAGGTACGATAAATCGGGACAACTCACCACAGATTCCTGTGTTTTCGACAGCACGAATTTTGCCTGGAGTGGTAGCGGCGACGGAGAGATCTGCTGGCTTGACGGCCCCTAAACCGCTTGCATTCGTGTTTCGTACGCCACCGAGAACACCATCTACGATCGGAACTTGACCTCCCAAGACGGAGGGCAACGTCGCCAAAATTATAGGAAACAACGAGATCAACATGCGATATTATCTCGTGCAAGCATCCAGAACCAGTTATCAAGGTCTTTATACCAGAAGCATTGAATTGAGAGGGCAGTGTATGCAAACGATGAACATTGCTGCTGCAGCTGATGTACCATGCAGTAACAAAGGCACTCTTGTTTGCAGTCAAATGGTCATTATTTGGTCTCTACGTCTTCCCATGAAGAGAAGACTCGGAAGCACATGCGCAATGTCGGTCACTGCACTTCTTCGGAGAATAGAGATAACACCAATACATGACTTTGTGCTAAAGAATCAGAGTTTGAATTCCGTATCAATGATTATTGATTCGGATGTTCCGTTGAGCTTGAATCTCATATCCTATGATAACTCTGTGAAGAAATGTTGCAATTCTGCGATACGACATCGTGGACTCTGAAAAAGCCATGGGGGGTTTTGGATAAACTTCAGCGGG